CTGAAAAGAAAAAAATAGTTACTATCCATATACAGAAAAAAGATTTAAATATATATACCATAACAGATACCTGAGCAAAACACAGAAAATTCATGGAATACAAATACAAAATAAACAAATATATTCAACGCAAAAGTAATACAAAATTAGCCTGGTGTGGCTCTGTGGTTGAGCATCGACCCATGTACCAAGAGGTCACCGGTTCGATTCCCTGTCAGGGCACATGCCCAGGTTGTGGGCCCAATCCCCAGTGGGGTCATGCAGGAGGCGGCCAATCGATGTTCTCTCTCATCCATGTTTCTCTCTCTCTCCCTCTCCTTTCCTCTCTCTCTAAAATCAATAAAGAAAAAAATTCATAACGAAAAAAGTAATACAAAATTAAAGCAACATAATTAAAAATTTATTTAACATGGATTTTAAAAATAGCTCTGGCTGGTGTGACACAGTGGTTAGAGCACTGGCTCTTACACCAAAGGGTCTTAGGTTCAAGCCCCGGTCAGGGGTACGTGCCTGGGTTGGGGTATGAGGAGTGTGGCCAATGTGTCTCTCTCACATCAATGTTTCTCTCTCTCTGTCTCTCTCTCTCTCTTTCCCCCCACCCCACCTCTCCCTCCTTCCCACTCTCTCTAAAAATCAATGGAAAAAAATATCCTCTGGTGAAGATTAACAAAACAAAAAAATAATGATAATAATATTCATTGCTAGTGATGATGACATCAATCAGGCTACCACTAAACTGCTGGCTTTATTTAAGCATTACGGCTTCATATAAAAAGTTGATTTATTTACCCTGGGGTACAGCACTGGCCCAAGGACCAAAGAGTCTCGGGTTCCATTCTGGTCAAGGGCATGTGCCGTGGTTGCAATTCTGGCCCTGGTCAGGGTCATGCAGGAGGCAACCAATTGACATGTGTCTCTCATGTTGATGTTCTCTCCCACCCCCCAACTCTATCTGAAGATAAATGGGAAAAAATATCCTCAATGAGGACTTAAAAAAAAAAAAGTTGATTCATTCAACAACTACTTACTGAGCATCTATCAGGCACCTACCACACTGACCAAAACATGCTAAGATCCATCCTGGTGGGCCTTAGATTTAAGTTACATCCTAATTTCCCTTCTAGAAGTGTAGACGTTTATCTTGTTAATATATTTTTAATGATTTTTTAGAGAGAAAGGAAGGGAGAGAGAGCTAGAAACATTGATGTGAGAGAAAAACGGATTCACTGCCTCCTGCACACCCCCTACTAGGGATGGAGCCTGTAACCAGGGCATGTGCCCTGACTGGGAATTGAACCAAGACATCTCAGTCCATGGGACGATGCTCAATCCAGAGCCACACCATTTCTAGCCGGGCTAGAAATGTAAACTTAAAAATAAAAACAAAACACTGAAAGAAACACAGACAAAGCCTTACATACACAGCTATTCCTCACAGCATTGTTTATAACAGCCAAAAAAAAAAAAAGCTAGAAATAATAAAGGAATAATTAAGTAATAGGACGGAAAATTGTGTTTTCAAAACAATTAATGAATAGGGTAATGCTTCAGTTAATTATTAAGTGAAAAAAGTAAATACAACTGTGCATATAATTCAATTTTCATTGTTTTAATGTTAACGAAGAAAAGACAAAACTATTTTCATTGTTACCTGGGGGTTGTGGGAATATTTTCTATACCTCCCAGTAATTCCCAAATTCTTTGCAAAGTTCTCAGTTTCATAATAACTATTATTTTGAGAAAGACTTATCCCCGAGTATGATGAAGAAATGGACAAAAGTCTTCCTTTTTACATTGTGGGTGTAGGATCGCCTAAAAGAACAACATTCACAAGCAAGTCCAAAGTATTACAAATTGTTTCCACAACAGTGAACAGTCAAGACCAAACTTATAAATGTTTAAACAAACAAAAGGAGCACATTCAAAATGCTGAATGAAATGGAAATAGACAAGAAATCAATAAAACATAAAAATGTATATAAAGACTGAAATGAGGGGACCAACTGGAAGGTATACTACATTAAAAAAAAAAAGTTAACCAGGAAAGAGAAAACTTCCTGAGGGAGGGGTAGTTTTCAGACAGCCACGGGAAGGATGGGCGTCTCACCTGAGAAATCCAAAGAAGATTAAGACACAGCATTTTCTGACTAACACTGCTTACTTTTTAGACAGAGAACCACCATATCAGAGTGCAGCAAAGCCTCGCCCATCCCCCCTCTGATGGAGAAAATACAGCACTGAGGACTGGGAGCCAGAGGGTCCTCGTGGCACAGAGGAAACCAGGGCCAAACAACTGAAATGCAACCTCTTCCCAGAATCAACCACCACTCACCAAGCACCAGGAAACCACCCTTCACCAATATCACTCCTCACAGCCTTCAAGAAGTGGATCAGGCCCTGGCTGGTTTGGCTCAGGAGTTAGTGTCGGCCCTCGGACCCAAGAGTCCCAGTTTCTGCTCCCACTAAGGGCACATACCTCGGTTGCAGTTTGTCCCTGGCCCTGGTTGGTGTCGTGTGGGTGGCAACCATTTGATGTGTCTCTCTCACATAAATGTTTCTCTCTTCCTTCCTTTTCCCTCCTGCTCTCTCTGAAGGTAAATAAAAAGGAAAAAAAAAAAAGAAGTGGATGGGGGCCACCTTTGACAGGTCTTCCCTGGAACACTTTTACTCACTGCCTTTCTTGCCGGGAACAGTCCCCACAGGGGTCTGTGCTTGCTTGTACGTGGCTTTGTGTTTCCAACTGGATCCTTGAGGACAGCTGCTTCCTAGCCTGTTCCCCAGCCTAGAAGCAGCTGCACAGACTAGAAGAGCCCAGTGCGCGAATTAGTGGAAGGATGAAGTCTCTGCTTCCGTGATGTCAGCTCCAGAGCGAACCTGGAATTCATTTCACGTCTCCAGGACGAATGCAGGCATACCTCGGGATACTGTGGCTTTGGTCGGTTTCAGACCTCCATAATAGAGCAAGTCGTATGAAATCTTTTTGCTGGTGGAGGGTCTTGCCTTCAATTTGTGTGGGGGGGGGGGGGGGGGGACGCAACACCTGTGATGCGCACTATAGCAACGTGCAATAAAATGGGGTCTGCCTGTATTTCTATTGTGGGTTGAGGGGAAACAGGAATGGACTTCTAAAGAAGAGAAAGTTATGGAGGGACAGAAAAAAAACAGCTCCACTACTGAGATCAGATTTATCAAAAGAAACTACTTATATTCTCCACATCTGCACTATATCCAGATGGCCACATTCACCTGGGGAGCTGTACAGAGGTGAAGTGCATGGAGTTTGGAGTCAAACTAACGTAAACGCCTGCAGCCTTAGTTTCCTCATCTGTAAAATGGGGACAATGAGGCCCAACCCACAACGAGATGGGATCTTGGGTATAAAATGTAGCACCCAACACACGGGCAGTGCTCAGTGCTCAGTCAATGGAAATGAGTTTGCCTGTCCTGCAGCTGATGAATCCATGAGTATCAGGTGGGCTTTCTTTGTTGACTCTGGCCAGGGGCAGTCTTCAGGATCACCTCTTCTTGCAGAGAGCCCAGGCTCTCCCCTCCTCTCCGGCCACACAGGGCTCGGACATGCAGGGAGCAGACTGAGACCTGAGGTGCTATGATAGGCAAAGTTGTCCGTACCCTTGGTATACTGCCAGAAAGAGACCCATTTTGTCACCCTCACTCTGGCGTGGCTTTCTGAGGCAGGGTTCCAGCCAGCTGTGCGAAATCTTTGTGGAGGTCCCACGAGTGTGTAAGTCGGTGGGTCAGGGCAGCAGGGCAAACTGAAAAGTGATGACTCTGCACAAACTAGCCTGTGACCTTGAGCAAGTCACTTGTCTATGTCGGTTTCCTCTTTCGTAAAAGGGGGGGGTTCCATTCTATGATCCCTTAAGTCTCATCCCGGGCTTCCACTGAAGCATCCCCTACATGACGCTGGTTATAATTCCAACAGTGAGGTCCAAGGGACACCTTCAAATGTGTTCCATTTCCTTTCAAAACCACTTGGCAGCCTTTTGGCCCTCCTCCCAAGAGAAGAGAGGATTTGGAGTGGCTTCCATGGCTTTGTTTTTGCTCCGTGTCCACCCAGAGCTGCTCATTCCACCTTTCCTTCTCTGCCCACAAAGTGGTCAAGTGTGTGTTCAGCAGGGGCAACCACTGGCTCACAGCCTGTCAGCTCAGAGATGGTTTGCAGACCATCCTGTGTGTGTGCTCAGGGTGGACAAATAAACATTTCAGAGAAGCAATATGAATTAAATCATTTCCTCAACAACAAAACCCGCCCACATGCTTCTTCATAAATCACGCCTCTTAATTCCATGCTGACGACCCGTCAGTAAACTGCATCTATTGCAAAAACCCTGACTCCTTTCATGCCCTGACACTTCAAATTCACAGTATTTTCACACTCTTATTGCACTAATGCCTTTGCAGAAGTAAAAGAAACAGCTACTTCCCTGGAAAGACCCATGGCCAGGGCGCTTTCCAAGAGATGTTCTTTGACTGTTCTTTGTGTCCTGGTGCACTGGGGGACACCGCCAGCCTTCCTGTATCTGGGGGACGCGGGGCTACTCAGAGTAATGCCACACCGTTTGAAAGCACACACACACCCCGGGTATCCCCCTTCGGCCCGACAATAAAGTATTCCCAAACATTTGATATACCACAATGATATAACCATGCACAAATACAATCCCACTGCCTGCATTTTGCAGAGAAAATAAAGGCACATTCGGAGAGGAAGCCACCAGACCCGCCTAGGGCTCCGAGGATAACAGGAGAGCTTTGCAGATCATTAGCCAGATTGGCCACAATCCGCTTGCTTTCTCCTTTTATTTTCTCCATGCCTTTATTCGCTGGGCCCGAGAAGAATGGGAAAGCATCTCACGAAAGGAGGGCGAGGGAGCGCTGGAGAATAAAAGAGTATGGGCGGGGAAAGCAGAATTTGAAAATAGCAGCAATAAAGGCAGGCAGGGTCGAGGCGGCGGCCCGAGGGTCTCCGCGGCGCTTACCTGGGGCGCACGAGGCCGGCCGGGTCAGCAGCAGCAGCCAGAGGCCGGGGAGCAGCAGCCCCGGGCGGCGGCGACGCCGGCAGCAGCGGGCGGAAGGCCCGTGGCCGCTCGGCCCCGGGACCAGCGCGACCCCGGCGCGGGTCTTCCCGTCCATGGCCGCGCCTCGGCGTCGGCGCCGCGCCCCCGGCAGTCCCGCCCGGCACCCGGCCCGGCCTCGCGGCTCGGCGCGCTCAGAGCCGGGAGAGGCGCCGCTGCGGCTCGGCTGGGACGGGGCGCCGCGCACCGGCGCGGAGGGAGGCCGGCGAGGCGGGGGCGGGCCGGGGGCCGGAACCGCGGACAGGGGCGGCCAGCCGCACGCCGGCCTCGCCGCTCCGCCCCCTTCGGAGCCTCGGAGCCGCTGCCCGGCAACGCGCGGGCCCGGCGCGGGGAGGCGAGCACCACCTCCCGGCCGGCCGGGCGCCTGCCTGCGGGGTGCTCGGCGGCGGGCGCGGGGCGCGGATGCGCCGGGTCCTCCCCCAGGACCCGCCTCCCGGGAGGGGGCGCGGGGGAACCGGGAGGCCTGGGCCCGGCCGGGAGCCGGCGCCGCCCCGGCCCGCACCCCACTCCGGGTCCCGCCCCCGGGGCTCGCGGAGAGAGGGAAGGAGGCCCGCCAGGAGGGTCCGAGCCGGAAACCTGGCCAGCCCGGAGCGCGGCGGCCTCGCTCGTCCTCGGCGCCTGGCCTCCCCCGGCTGAGTGTGCGGGGCAGCAGGTGTGAGCGGGGCGCCTGCGTGGGCAGGACAGCCTTCGGGCTGCAGAGGGGACAAAGCAGAGGGAAGGTCGGCTCGCTTCCCAGGAGCCTGGCGCGCTGAGAAAACGCGCACGCAGCTCGACCCGTCCTTTCTCCCGTTAGAGGCTCTGCCTCCGGTCCCGGCCTTTGGGACAGGAAGCCCCAGACCCGGGAGCCCCGCAAACACCGCACGTAGTAGGCCCAACGAAGGCGCCTGTTGAACCGAACTGAAGTGAGTCTGGAGAGAAGCGCGCTCGTCCAGGCCCTTTTAGGGAAAGCAGTGCTCTTGGGAGGTGGAGAGAATATCGGAGGATTGGCGTTTGGGGGTTAGGGTTCCCCGGGGAAATGAGGTCAGGTACCTACTATGTGCCAGGCATCTAAGCCTGAAGCCGCCCGGTGGTTTAAAGGTCTTGCAAGGGGCAGTTTTGAATCCAGGCGTCCTGTTGCCGTGCAGTAGGCCGGGTACTGAAGATGTGAGTTGGAGACACCACCTTCCTGCGGGGAAACTATGGTGGACGTGGAAAATGTGAATCATCTGCACTGACAAAAGGATCCAGGTTGCGCTCCAGTCCCGGTCCCCTCAGGCCGATCCTTCAACTCAACCCATCGAGGCAGTAATAGTAGCCCCTTCTCAGAATAAGGCTGAGGCATGCTTCTGTAAGCACCTGCCTGTTGGTTTCAAGGAAGATAATTGAGAATAAAGGTTAAAGATGACTTTTGTTGATGTTCCTAATTTGTACTTTATTATGCCTCCACATCATAAACAGTCTCTGTTCTCAGCAACTGATTCCCCACCACCACCACCACCACCCACCATGAAGAGAAGGCTTTGCAGACCTTGCCTCCATCCATAAACTCCAGGTGAGTAACTGCGGAGAGACCCTGCCTGTCCCAGCATGTCCGCTCCCTGGATATGCTGGCCCTGGATCTGGGACCTCTGATTCACACTTTTCTTGATTATCTGAACTCACTGTGTAAAAACTTCATTAGACCACAAACCTCTGCCTTGAGGTGATTCTTAAATTGTCTTGTCCTGTTATGTTATTTAATCTTTTATGAAATTATGCTGTGCCTCTCCAGCCAAATGAATATGAGACTGGAAGCGGGTGTCATCCTGCTTAGGATTCCCCAGAGCACCTGTAAACCCTCATTATACAAATTTGTTATTTGAACCCGAGCACCCACCTGCCCAAGGGAGAGGATTGACCTTTCAGACCTGGCCCCAGCCTCCAGTAAGCGCCAACCTACACTAGAATCCAGGGTGTCAGAAAAAGGAGGCTCCCTCTTAATTCTCAGGCAATTAAAGGAAAGGAAGTGTTTAACCCCAGCCATTAAGAAGGGATTGAGCCCTGGCTGGTTTGGCTCAGCGGTTAGAGTGTCGGCCTGTGGACCAAGGAGTCCCAGGTTCGATTCTGGCCAAGGGCAGGTATTCAGTTGCAGTTTGTCCCTGGTCCTGGTCAGGTCGTATGGGAGGCGACCAGTCGATGTGTCTCTCCCCCTCCTTCCCTCCCACTCTATCTGATGATAAATGTAAAAATATCTTCGGGTGAGGATTAAAAAAAAAAAAAAAGGGATTGACATCAGTTGGAAAGCCAGAAATAAAAATCTCAACTTCACGATAATAGAAATGACTCAAGGTCACCAACTTCCTAAGGAAAGTAAGATTCCTAGGGTCCCATAGTCTCCAAGCTCTGAAAGCATTAAACTACATATTACTTCTGTTAGGATCTAGAACCTTCTGGCTCAGTGTTCAGAAACACATCTCCCGGGGCTCTAACAGTTCAGGTGGTGAGCTGTGTGACTCACAAGTCCAGGACGGACTGAGTGGTAAAAGTAGGGTGTGTGTGTGTTTGCACGTGTGTGTACTGCATGTGCACATACACGCCTCCACATGTGTACACACACATTTGTCTGATATGAGAAGGGATTATGTGAAGGTCTTAGGGCATTCACGCTAGTGAACACTTCCGAGCACCAGCTATGCCCAACCAGGATGGGGGATATAAAAGATGCAATTTTAGAGATTATCTCATCCAGTTGTCATTTTATAGATAAAGAAACAAGTCAAAGAGGTTGTTCATTTACCTCAGGCTCAGCCCCCATCTTCCATTTTCCGGTTAAACCACACAACCTCCAAGAGATGGGGGAGACATAGGGCCCTCAAAAGGCTTACAGTCTGGTTTGGGGGGGAGGGGATCAGTCCCCCTTAGACTGACGCAAAACAGGCCCCAGCTGTGGGGGCCCCACTCCAGGCCTCCTCCAACTGCTGCACCCTCCCCACAGTGCAAGAAGCCTAACAGGCCAACGGGACACCCCCAGGAGCCAGAATGCCCCACCCACTGGGCCCCAGGCTCACTTCCAGGGCCTGTGTGGCCTCTTCCTCCCCAAGGGTGAGCCAACAACTGGCGTGTCTGGCCCCAGGGGCAGCCAAGGGGTCGCTGTCTGCAAGAAAGTGGTGGAACTTGGACATGCACTAGGGTGAGATCAGCACAGGAAGCCTGCAGGAGAGAAGCAAAGAACGAGGTGTGGGAATAGAAGGCGAAACAAGCCCCATATTCCTGTGTCAACTTAGCCGCCATATTCCTGCTCAGAACTCCAAGAATCTGAGGATGATCTGATGATGGCTTGATTATGCCTATCTTGCCTGCTGGGGGTTTGTTACAAAGATTAAACAAAATAAGATAAATGTCCATAAAGTTCATTTATAAAGGAATATTTTATGAACACTTACTATATGCCAGGCACTGCCTTGTGCATTGTGGATACAACAGCAAACAAAATAAAGGCCTTTCTGCCCTGACCGGTGTTGCCTAATGGTTAGAGTGTCAGCCCTTGGACCAAAGGGTCACCTGTTCGATTCCTGGTCAAGGGCACCTACCTGGGTTGCAGGTTTGATCCCCGGCCCTGGTCAAGATGTATGTGGGGGGCAACCAACTGATGTGCCTCTCTCTTTCTCCCCCTCCCTCCCTCCCTCTCCTCCTGGCTCTCTAAAAAAAGTAATGGAAGAAATAACCTCCGGTGAAGATTAACAAAATAAATAAATAAAGGCCTTTCCTCATGGACCTTGCATTCTAGTGAAAAGAGACAGGCAATAAGTAAGTGACAATATATAGCACTCTAACAGGGTGACAGAGAGCCATGGGATGTCTGGGGAGAGGGTTCCAGGCAGGGGGAGCAACTGTGCAAAGTGAAAAAGAAGCTAGAACAGAGTAAACATTTACAAACCATTTACTGCCCTGGCTGGTCTGGCTCAGCAGTTAGAGCATCAGCCCGTGGACTAGAGAGTCCCGGGTTCGGTTCCCACTAAGGGCACGTACCTCGGTTGCGGTTTGTCCCTGGCCCTGGTTGGGGTTGTGTGGGTGGCAGCCACTCAATGTGTCTCACATCGATGTTTCTCTCTCTCTCTTTCCCCCCTCTCTTCCTCCTGCTGTATCTGAAGATAAATACAAAAATGTCCTCAGGTAAGGATTAAATAAATAAATAAATAGCATTTACTGAGCCCAGCCGGTGCGGCTCAGTGGTTGAGCATCAACCCATGCACCAAGAGGTCGCCGGTTTGACTCCCAGTCAGGGTACATGCCCAGGTTGTGGGCCCGATCCCCAGTGGGGGGCATGCAGGAGGCGGCCAGTCGATGTTCTCTCTTACTCTCTCCCTTCCTCTCTCTCTAAAAATCAATAAAGAAAAAAAAAATTTTGTAACCATTTACTGAGCCCCTACTGAGTACGCTATAGTTTCTTCAAAGAGTTGACAATCTTATAGAAAAAATAAATTAAAAAAATAACCATGTTGCAAAGTAGACCATAATAAGTGTCAGAAGGAACTTACAGAATGTCTGAAGAAGGGAGAAATCCTATTTGATGAGAGAATCAGGGAACTTCATGGTGAAGTTGCAGGTGAGCCAGGCCTTATGGGATCCTTGAAAGACAAGGAGGATTTGGACAGCTAAGGAGGACAGGACGGTTATTCCAGGTGGAGGGGATGTTATGAACAAGGACATCAAGGGAGGAAAGCATGGATTTATCTAGCTACTGTCCTGGATCAGTGGAAACAATAGTCCACAGATCTGGCTGCATAATAAAATCATCTGGACTCCAAAAAACAAAACAAAAACGAACAACAAACAAAAAGCTCCCCAGGCCATACCCCAGTCCAATTAAATCCAAATCTCTGCAGGTGAGGCTTGGGCAATCACGCCTTTAAAAAGCTTCCCAGGATTCTGACGTGCAGTCAGGAGCAAGAGCCACAGAAAACAGTGTGGAGGCTATTCAAAAAGTTAAAAGCAGCACTACTGTGAGATCTAGCAACCCCACTTCTGAGTATCCAACCAAAGGAAATGACTGTTGTGCAGAGATGTCTGCAAACACACAACCCGTGCTCATTGCAGCATTATGCATAGTAACCGAGGCATGGAAACAACGTAAGTGTCTATCTACGGGGGAATGGCTGAAGAAATTGTGAGATTTGCAATATCTATGAATATTATTTAGCCATGAAAAAGAAGGAAATCCTGTCATTTCCGACAACATGGATGGACCCTGAAGGCATTATGCTAGTTGAAATAAGTCAGACAGAGAAAAACAAATCATTGTAAGCTCTCACATGTGGAGTCTAAAGACATCAAACACGAGGAAACAGAGAGCAGAGTGCTGTTTATCAGGGACTAAGGTGTGGGGGATGTGGGGAGATGTTGGTTAAAGGGTATAAACTTTCAGTCATAAGATGAATAAGTTCCGGGGATCTAAAGTACGACATGGCGACCATAGTTAACAACACTGTATTGTTTAAAAAAATGTTTTTCCCTTGTCTGGCTGGTGTGGCTCAGTGGTTGAGCATCAACCCATGCACCAAGTGGTCACAGGTTCAATTCCTGGTCAGGACACATGCCCGGGTTGTGGGCCCGATCCCCAGTGTGGGGCATGCAGGAGGTGGCCAGTCGATGGTCTCTCTCATCGATGTTTCTGTCTCTCTCTCCCTCTCCCTTCCTCTCTCTCTCTAAAAATCAATAAAGGAAAAATTGATTTTTAGAGAGAGAGGAAGGGAGATATCTAGCTAAAAGTCTGGACTTTATAATGGGGCATCAGTAACATTTTTTTTTTTGAGATATTATTAGAACTAAGCACAAGAAGAATTACTCTATTAACAATATATAAGGTGATTTGGAGAGAAAAAAGACTGCAAGTAGAGAGACCAATTAGGACAGGATCTTTAACAGTGCATGCCTGAAGTATCAAGAATTATAACATTTTTCACCATCAAACAGACAGAACTTTTTAAAAATTGATAATATCCATTTGTGGCAGAGTATGGGGAAATAGGCATTCTCCGATTGGACTGGTGGAGGTATAATTTGGTATACCCATTTTGGAGGACATTTTGGCCTTATCTATTGACATTTAAAATCAGCACACCATCTGGTGCAGAAAATTCCATTTCAAAAAATATATCTGGTTTTGCGCTTTTTTCTTTCTTTCTTCCCTCTTTTTTTAAAATATATGTTTTTATTGATTTTTTTAGAGAGTGGAAGGGAGAGAGATATAGAAATATCGATGAGAAACATCCATCAACTGCCTCCTGCACACCCTCTGCTGGGGGTCAGCCCAAGCATGTGCCCTGACCGGGATTTGAACCAGAGACCTCTTGGTGCACAGGATGATGCTCAACCAACTGAGCCACACCAACCGGGACCTCTGTGTTGTTGTTTTTTAAGTCAGGCTTAATTCAGGTAGGTAGATTCGGTCAGGTAATTCAATCAGATAAAATTTACCTTTTTAAAAGTGTACAGTTCAATGAATTTTGATAAATGTGTGAAGTCCTGTAGCCACCACCACATTTAAGATATAGAACATTTTTTTGCCCTAAGAAGTTCCCTTATGCCAACTTGCAGTCTGCAGTCTGCAACTGGCCACCACTGATCTGATTTCTGTTTCTATACCTTTGTCTTTCTAGAATTTCATATAAATGGAATCATACAGTACATAGCCCTTTGTGTCTGATGTCTTTTATTTAACAAAATGTCTCTGAGATTCATTCCAGTTGTTACATGTATTGGTAACTTGTTCCTTTCTATTGCTAACAAGTACTCCATTGAATGGATATACCACCATTTGTTTATCCACCGGGAAAAGAAATACTATGTGGAGTTTGGAGAGTAAATAAATGAAGACAAGTGTTCATTTTTATGAAGAGTAATGTTCACTTTTTGCCCTATATATAAATACATCTGATTACACTTACACTTGATTAATACAACTGATATCATTTGAATTTTTTACACAACCATGAACAAACTTTTTATTTAATTTATTTTTAATAAAAACTGTGGGTTTGAATGTAAATTAGCAAATAGATGAGACACATTCTGGATGTTAAATCAACTACTGAAATATGAGGAGAGGAAATAATAAAACATGATTCAGAGGTTTTGAGGCCACATCTGCAAGGATAGGTAAAGGGAAGCCAGTTGGAGAGGCGGGGTTAGGGGGAAAGAAGCGTTGAATACTGAATGCGATGGCTGTGAAGAGCGGGCCGGCACCAAAGAACAAAGGGAACGAGCCCAGCCAGTGTGGCTCAGTGGTTGAGCATCGGCCCATGCACCAAGAGGTCGCCAGTTCGATTCCCGGTCAGGGAACATGCCCAGGTTGTGGGCCCAATCCCCAGTGGGGGGCATGCAGGAGGCGGCTAATTGATGTTCTCTCTCATCAGTGTTTCTATCTCTCCTTCTCCCTTCCTCTCTCTCTGAAAAAAAAAAAAAAAAATTTTTGTAAAGAGCAAAGGGAGCCCAAGCAGTGGGCGGTGCAGGTGAGGCTCGGGCTGGGGAGAGGAGGCAGGTAGGGCTGAAAATGCAGATGTGGAAATCGCCTGCATAGACTTCATTAGCTTCAGCCGTGAGAGTGAACGGCTGTGCCTGGGAAGAGAGGAGAGGAGGAAAGGAAGGCTGAGAACAGACCCTTGGGAAAGACCTTCCTTTGGAAAAGCGAGGAGGAGCCGATGTGAAAGGCAGAGACTGAGAAAGCTGAGAACACGCAAAACGCGATGTCACCAGAGGCCTGCGAGGGACGTTTCCGGAGGGAATGGTCAACGTCAGGAACAATGAGGACTGTGAGAAAATCTCTTTGGACTTGATGTGTAGTCATTAAAGAGACTTTCTGGCCCTGGCCGGTTTGGCTCAGCGGTTAGAGTGTAGGCCCACAGACCAGAGAGACCTGGGTTTGGCTCCTGCTAAGGGCACGTACCGGTTGGGATCGTGTGGGTGGCAGCCAGTCGATGTGTCTCACATTAATCTCTCTCTCTCTCTCTCTTCCTCCCCCTCCCCTCCTGCTCTATCTAAAGATAGATGCAAAAATGTCCTCGGGTGAGAATGAAAAAAAAAACAAAACAGAGAGACTTTCTGTTGAAATGGGGAAGGTGGGGAGAGGCAAATAACATAGAAAAAAGAATGAACTGATTGGGCCCGGCCGGTGTGGCTCAGTGGTTGAGCATTGACCCATGCATCAAGAC